CAGAATGATTTGACATATATGACTTCCCTATGACTTCCATCGCTGTAAAGTTTCCTCCTGTTGTTTGCATCAGAACAATTAGAACAATTCTTCGAGATCTGCCTGTTGGATGAGCGGACTGTGTCCTGAGCTTACCATTTTTTTTCGAGTCGCACCAAATGGAACCAAACCCCCATCCCTTCTTTCCACTTAACCAACAAGTAAACATCGTTTGCCCTCTTTAATCTGATGAAGAGCTCTGAACTGAATACCAATGCTCACTGAGCCTGACTAAAAAAATTCACTCTATGTATTACTGTCTGCTTAGTTCTTCTTTCCATTTGGTTGAAGAGTTGGGCTACTATGGTTGGATTGGTTTAGAATCATTAGCTTCAAGCTACCTCATTGCCAGCCCTATCGTAGTAGCCTTGTTGTGAGTCTTTTAACTCTGAAAAAAGTCAGACATTAATGTTCAACCATCTGAATCATCTGAATAACAAAAAAAAATATGAACTCATGAAACAGGCTTTGACAAAAATGACGATTCCCCAGAAAAGACTGAAAATAATGTGACCAAAGGGACACGTTAAATCAAAGCGCATCCAATAATAAATAACACAGATGTCTACAATCTATTCAGTCAATAGGCCCATATTTATAGGGCTAAAAGTAATCACTGTGCTAAAATGGTGTGTACCACACTCAACATGGACCAGAGAAAACAAAGGAAACACTTGTCTAAAGTTAGAAAGAAAATTATAGATGATCATGTTAAAGATAAAGGCTATAAAACTATCTCCAAGCTGCCTGATGTTCCTGTGACTACAGTACCACAGATTATTCAGAAATTTAAGATCCATGGGATTGTAGATAGCCTCCTTGGAATGGTCACTGGAGGAAAATTGATGACAAATCAAAGAGAGAATAGTAATGATAACAGGAGAGCCCAGAAAAACTTCTAAAGATATTAAAGTGAACTTCAAGCTCATAGAACGTCGGATCAAACCATCTGTCCTTGTTTGAGCCAAAGTGGATTTAATGGGAGACAACCAAGGAAGACATTGATGAAAACAAATGACTAAAAGAGAAAGAATGGAATTTACACACCACAAAGCTTCTGGGAGAAAGTCATATAGATAGATGAGACATAAATGAAACATTTTGCTAAGATGCATCAGCTCTATGTTCATAGATCGAAAAATTAAGCGTGTCAAGAAAATAGAATAGAATAGAAAATCCATTTATTGTCCCACAATGGGGAAATTCTGGTGTTTACAGCAGCAGAAAGATTATAGAACAAATGGTCACACACATGTTGACCTTAGATAAAATGTATAAGAATAAGATAATAGAGAAGTTAAAAATAGTGTAGTTAAAAGCCTTCAGCTGATCCAAAATGCTGCAGCCAGAGTTCTGATGAAAAGTGAAAACAGAGATCATATCTCTCCTATCCTGGCTTCTCTTCATTGGCTTCCTGTTAAATCCAGAATAGAATTTAAAATCCTCCTTCTCACATATAAAGCCTTAAATGGCCAAGCTCCATCTGATATCAGAGATCTGATTGTTCCTTATGTTCCTAACAGAGCACTTCGCTCTCAATCTGCAGGTTTACTAGTGGTTCCTAGAATTTCTAAAAGTAGAATGGGAGGCAGATCTTTTAGTTATCAGGCTCCTCTCCTGTGGAACCAACTACCAGTTTTAGTCCGTGAGGCAGACACTCTGTCTACTTTTAAGGCTAGGCTTAAAACTTTCCTTTTTGATAAAGCTTATAGTTAGAGTGGCTCAGGTTATCCTGAGCTATCTCTATAGTTATGCTGCTATAGGCTTAGACTGTTGGAGGACATAGGGACCCCCATTTCATCATTCTGCTTCATTCTCTCTCTATTCTCCTATTCTGCAGAATCTGTTAGTTCAATCTCTAACATTCTGCTCTCTCTGCTTTTGCTCAGAGTAGCTTTGCCTTGTCTGTTCCTGTTTGGCTGTGACGTCATCCTGGAAAGAATCATCAGCTGTGCTGCTTCTATCAACACCCTTGTTTATAGATGTTGGAGATCGGCCTGTTTTCCTGTGTGGTCCTCTTTCTCTGACCGTGACTGAGTGGATGTGCTCTCTTCGTCCTCTGGAATGGGAGCTGGCTCGGAGCTCGTCTGCCTGGCTGTGTGTTTCCTGGACGGGGGCCGCCTTTTACAGCTGCCTTTTGTATCTCTGCTTCTGTCTCCTTGAACCCCAGTCGGCCTCGGCAGATGGCCGCTCACACTGAGCCTGGTTCTGCTGGAGCTTTCTTCCTGTTAAAAGGGAGTTTTTCCTCTCCACTGTCGCTACAAGCATGCTTAGTGTGAGGGATTGTATTTGAGTCAATGAGTCGATACAATCAACTGGTTTTCCTTAGATAGAAAACTTTGTATCAATTTGACTGGATGATCTGGTGAACTGTAAAGTGCCTTGAGATGACATGTGTTGTGAATTTGGCACTATATAAATAAACTGAATTGAATTGAATAGAAGAGTTAAAAGTAAATAAAGAATAATTAAAGAGTTAAAAGATATACAAGAACATGGTCCCTACTGTGAAACATAGAGGAGGCTCTGTTATGCTCTGGGCTGCTATGCTTCATCTGGCACATGGTGTCTGAATCTCTTCAGGGTCTTAGTTTCAGGTCTTCAACAGCATAATGACCCAAAACACACAGCTAAAAACAACCAAGAATGGCCAAGAGGAAAACACAAGATCTAACTAGGATCTTTGTCTGGAAAAGGCAGCCTTCAAACCAGAGACAACTGGAGCAGTTTGGTCATGAGAAGAAAAACCTGCATAGGAGCAGAAGAATGGAGATTCCCTCAAAAAGATGTGCAACAAAATATTGAGTTAAAGGTTCATCATTTTTGTCCAGACCTGTTTCATGAGTTATATTTTAAAAGCCTTTTGTTTCAGATAAGGCTGATAAGTTATGTCTGACTTTCACTTTTTCATTTCCATAGAATTGTTATTTATGACTTTTCAGATTCAAGTTATTTCTTTGATCACTGTGGGTTTCCTTTCATTGAACGAGGGGTATTTACATCTTTCCTTGTGTGTCTCTGTGTGGTGTTGCCATATAAAGGCCTGGTGACCTATGGCCAATGGCTGCAGGAGATTGATGAAAATTATATTTAGAATATAGTTTTAGAATATTAATAGTGATGATTAGGATAATTCCATTATCATTATTCCCTTTATCAAATATTTGTATTGTTCACTCACACACAGATGACGAGTTTCTTACACCTCCACAGTTTGAACTGAGTCACAGACACACAGGAGCCTGGAGGCCAGTTTCTCTTCTGAGTTTTGTTTTCATCCTCATTCTCTTATCGTTTGTTCTCAATCCGCTCATGACTCCAGCTGTCACTCTTCATGAAACTTCATGGATCTTCTGCAAGACTCCTGTCAGCATGATAAGACGGAGCACATGACATGAAAACGGTGACACATCTCTCTGCTGTTTATTGGTTCCTGTCCAGCAAATCCGCTGCACCAATCAACGGTTTTACTTTTGTTTATATTGCAGGCAAAATTTATCAGGCAGATTTTTTAACTTTTAAAGGGCAGAAAACCAAGAACAAAATGAACAAAAAAGATAGTGTGTGTTTAAACAAATAAATTACATCCAAAACATGCAGAAAGTGGCTATATAAGATACCAAAGATCCATTTTATTAAACTCTAAACAGCTGTAAACGTTTTTAATTGGATGAGGAAAACAGCTTACTTTTTTCTTTTTTTTTTACCCATAATCTGTTTCAATATAAGGTAAGAGAAAGTAAAAAAATCACAAAGGTTTCTCCAACATCGGCTATTTAAAATAGATTATTTAAGATAAAAGGTGGGTTAAAATTATATATATAGTTTGATATAACATCCATAATAATTGATTCTTACAGTTTTAATTAGATGTTCTTTCACTCTTTTAAAGCCAAACGTTGCAATCTACACAAAAAAAATATGAAAACGAATGAATGCATAAATATCAAACAGAATAGAAAAAGTCAGAAGCCAAGTTATTCACCGTAATATTTTTTATTACAAAATATAAATGGCAAAAAGCTTTTTAAACTGCGTCGATAAAACAAAGCCAGATGTGACAAACGGAACGAAACCGAGCTTTCTTTTTATTTTTTGTTCTTTTTTTAAGTTTATATGCTACAGTGTGTAATGTGACTGTATTCCTGCTCAGATAAAGAAAACATGACAGGAAATAATCAGCACTCTGCTTTGATCCAAAGGACTGCCTGAATAATACAGATTAAAAAAAACAAAATATGGTTTTTAAACATTTACTTCAGCTCATACTAAGGAAGATCCCCTTCTTTGTTTTAAAGTTATGCCACAGATGTAAGGAGAGATTGAGGGAATTTAAAGTTTTTCTTTGTCTGAAATGATCAGAGGTGATTTGCTTTTAGAAGATTGAAATGCATTCCGTTAACAAACCATGCTGCCACTAGTGTCTCTGCTGTGTGTATATATATATATATATATATATATATATATATATATATATATATATATATATATATATATATATATATATATATATATATATATATATATATATATATATATATATATATATATATATATATATATATATATATATATATAGTGTAAATATTTTATTAACCTAAAATTTTTAGTCTAGTGAACATTAATTCTGTATTTTTAAACAAGTTTTGAAGAGTATTGCTGTTTTTATTTATTTTTATATTTGTATTTTTCACTGTAAAATTCTTACTGTTGTGTTTTTAGGTAGACAATTTTAAGATCTGTCCAGGGACAACAGATGAAAAATAGTCTTAATTCTGGTGCATTTGCAGGAATGCTTATTAATGTACACTGTCCCTGTTAAATAAATAAATTAGTATATTTATAAGACACCCTCAAACCTTTTGTGGGATTTTTTAAATATAAATCTGTTCCATTTGTTCTGCTGAGAAGATTAGTTCTGGTCATAAAATGCCAAATTCTTTGCTGTAGCAAAGCAAACTTTCACTGTAGCATTCACACCCTCATTCATCATTCAGCTGTTTTAGCCATGGATGAAAACAACAGCTGATTCCCAGATAACACTGTTTAAAAGCGACAGGGAGCTGCATGGTTTCCACTCTTTAGGCAGGTCCAGTTTAGGGGAATGTTTGGTTGAGGGATAAAGATGGGATGAGGGGGTCTGAGAAGTCTTTTTCTATGTTTTCCATCATTTTTTCTTTTGTAAAACAGATGCGTAAAATGTCACCATGTGTGCGTAAAATGTCAATGGGAAGGCAGGCGCACGAACTGAAGTTGTTAAGAGGTCTTCTTGGATACTTTGAGTAGGCATCCTCTGAAAGCTTCACTTCCCCACCTCGTCGAGCACCTTGCGGTTGAGCTGAGCCTGCTCCCTTTGGCTCTCCATCTTCGCCATCTGGATCATGTTCCTCAACAGGTGGAAGGTTAGGTCGATGGAGAGCTGCGGGTCTTCGCTGCGCTTCAGCAGCTGCTCGGCGGTTCTCAGCGCCTCGTCCTCCTCGGCGTCATCTTCGGGCGGCAGCAGGTGGAGGCGGTCCGGATCCCTCCGCTGGAGGAGCCTCAGCAGGTTGTCGCCCACCAGATCCGAGGCGGCGCGGTCCGCGGCCGCTCTGAGGAGAACATCGTCCGTCTGCTGAGTCTGGAAGCGGCTGCTGCCATCCATCCAGCCGGGGAGGGAGCGCGGTCTGCCGGCAGCAGGGTGGAGGTGTGAGGAGAGGAGGAAGGAGGAGAGGAGCAGCAGGAGGGGGACTGGCTTCATCTTCTAAAACGGAGGGAAAACGTTAGAATATTTAATCAAGAAAGCTCATTAGAAATAAGATTTCAACTGGCTGCAATTTTATTAGTTTTGAAATTTCGACAAGTCAAAATTGACAATTATAACTTATCTGATTTTGAATTGCATTTAATTATTATTATTTCAGGAAAAAAGGGTAAAATAGACAAAGAAAAGTGCAAAATTAGAAAAAAAAAAATCCTAAAATATTAAAGCATGTCTTTCCATCTCAAGGTGACCTATAGACATAAGATGGAAAACTTTGAAAAATGTCTTAGAATTATGAAAAAATCAGCAGTTCTCACATGATTTTCTTCGGTTGATGCAGCTGAACTTTTCAGAAATATCTGCTCTGATTCTGGAAAGTCCTGCGAGTCGCGACTTCAGAGGTCTGCAGGGTTTTATACATCCAGTCCGCTCCTTTTTGACGTCAATGCGAGAAACCTACAGACGTTTTTGGAAAGCAGGCAGCTCTAAAAACACGCTCAGAACCCAGAGAGGCAGCTGCGGAAGCGGGATGAGGATATAAGGAGCAATTTAACAGCTTTGTTTGTTTTCCATGTTCCTTTAAAAGACAAAGAAAACAAAACTCTATTTTGTTTCAATTATTTTGGGGAGTAAAAATCTCGACCTTCGTCCAAAATTTGGCGCACAGGATATATATATATAGTTAATTCATACTGACCTTTTCTTTTTGTCAATAGAATAAAAAACCCCTTTAATGTCCCACAATGGGGAAATTGTGGTGGAAAAGCAGTAAATGATTATAACAAAACTGGTCACACAAATATTTACCTTTAAAATATATAAAAATTTGTTTAGTTAAAAAACTAAACAAATAAAATAATGTACTGCACAGTGTATTTACAATATAAATACTCTGTATCTAGAGAATAAATAATCAATATACAGCTTTAGACATTTTTACAGTAATGGATATGTGAAAATAGCAGTAACAACAAAGATGTGCAAACTGACAGCAGCATATCATTTAACTAAAATGGAAACTGTGCAAAAATCAGAATGAATGTGACAAATTATTGAGGTTGTTGGGAACAGTAATGGTTATTAAATCTTACAGCTGCAGGGTGGAAGGATCTGTGATAATGCTCCCTGGTGCATTTAGGGTGCAGCAGTCTGACACTGAAGGAGCTCTCCAGCTTTGCAACAGCTTCATGCATGGGGTGGGAGACATTATCTATCAGAGATGTTATTTTAGTTAGGGTCCTTTTGTTTCCCACCTGCTGCACTGGGAGTGGCAGCCTAGTGGTTAGGGGATAGAACTTGGAATACTGAAGTTCTTAATTTGAGCCTCACTCTCACAGACTGCCACTCTGGGTCTCTGAGTAAGACCCTAACCGCCATGCTGCTCCCGGGGCGCTGCACAATGGCAGCCCACTGCTCCCCAATGGGGTGGGTTAAATGCAGAGAGCTAATTTCGTTACTCAGGAAGTTGTGACAGCGTAATGATAACAAGAGCTGGAAAAAAAAATCTAATTACAGAGCTGGCCTTCCAGATCAGCTTATCCAGCCGCTTTCTCTTAGCTACAGATAAAACACTGCTCCAACAGACGGCTCCATAGAAGATGGCTGATACCACAAAAGAGTCATAGAAGGTCTTTAGGAGCGCACCCTGCACTCCAAAAGACCTCAGTCTCCGCAGGAAGAGTCTGCTCTGACCCTCCTTCTATAGAGCCTCAGTGTTGTGAGTATCCAAAATTAGGATTTTTGCCAAGCTGAAGTCGTTTTCTGATAACTAATCTGATTTTCCCAAAGCTGGCACAAAGGATCAAAGTAATTCAATCCCTAAAAATTATGCAAACAAGAGAGAATCAGACATGAATTTAAATTCTATTCATATACACTCACCGGCCACTTTATTAGGTACACCTGTCCAACTGCTTGTTAACACTTAATTTCTAAGCAGCCAATCACATGGCGGCAACTCAGTGCATTTAGGCATGTAGACATGGTCAAGACAATCTCCTGCAGTTCAAACCGAGCATCAGTATGGGGAAGAAATGTGGTTTGAGTGACTTTGAACGTGGCATGATTGTTGGTGGAGGGAGGGCTGGTCTGAGTATTTCAGAAACTGCTGATCTACTGGGATTTTCATGCACAGCCATCTCTAGGGTTTACAGAGAATGGTCCGAAAAAGAAAAAACATCCAGTGAGCGGCAGTTCTGTGGGCGGAAATGCCTTGTTGATGCCAGAGGTCAGAGGAGAATGGCCAGACTGGTTCGAGCGGATAGAAGGGCAACAGTGACTCAAATAACCACCCGTTACAACCAAGGTGGGCAGAAGAGCATCTCTGAACGCACAGTACGTCGAACTTTGAGGCAGATGGGCTACAGCAGCAGAAGACCACACCGGGTGCCACTCCTTTCAACTAAGAACAGGAAACTGAGGCTACAATTTGCATAAGCTCATCGAAATTGGACAATAGAAGATTGGAAAAACGTTGCCTGGTCTGATGAGTCTCGATTTCTGCTGCGACATTCGGATGGTACAGTAGGGTCAGAATTTGGCGTCTACAACATGAAAGCATGGATCCATCCTGCCTTGTATCAACGGTTCAGGCTGGTGGTGGTGGTGTCATGGTGTGGGGAATATTTTCTTGGCACTCTTTGGGCCCCTTGGTACCAATTGAGCATCGTTGCAACGCCACAGCCTACCTGAGTATTGTTGCTGACCATGTCCATCCCTTTATGACCACAATGTACCCAACTTCTGATGGTTACTTTCAGCAGGATAATGCGCCATGTCATAAAGCTGGATGGCCTCCACAGTCACCAGATCTCAATCCAATAGAGCATCTTTGGGATGTGGTGGAACGGGAGATTCGCATCATGGATGTGCAGCCGACAAATCTGCGGCAACTGTGTGATGCCATCATGTCAATATGGACCAAACTCCCTGAGGAATGCTTCCAGCACCCTGTTGAATCTATGCCACGAAGAATTGAGGCAGTTCTGAAGGCAAAAGGGGGTCCAACCCGTTACTAGCATGGGGTACCTAATAAAGTGGCCGGTGAGTGTACATTTCAGACTCTATGAGAAGTGAGCTGTCCGTGGTGCTGAACCTGCTGGTAGACTTATACAGCTCCCACATTTGATCCCATATGATGGGAATGTGCAATAATTGAAGCCCTTAATATAAAATATTCTACAAGTGTTTTAAAGTACTGACACAGTCTAACACATTTAAGTACAGAGACATACTCATTAGGCCGTTTTCGGCACATCTAATTAAAGACTCTTCAATTCTTGTTTGGAATAAATGATTAGAAAGTTTCCAATGATTTATGCCAAACAAGGGATCCCAACACCCGAATTTGTTAGGATGCACTGGAAAAAGAAAAACAAAACAAAATGCATTTCATTATTGCGAGTAAAAATTGTCCCCATCAAGCAACCAGAACCAGTCACTGGTTTTAGAAATAAAGAGTCTAAGAGTCCTTCTTAGACACTTCAGCCCGAGATGTTTCGGCTCATGACATTTATAAGACTGATTCTAAATAGACACTAAGATAGCTCTACCTTAGTTTTATTTTTTAAATCCATCAAAAATTTCTGCCTGATCTGTTTTTTTTTTTTTTTTTTTTTCGGAAAAAGTACAATTTTTGTTTTTGTTTCCTTAAATTCTTCTGACCACAATTCTGTTCAGAATCCTGGTACATTATTTAAGTATGTTTTACTAAATGTAGGCCTGGATTGACTTCAAAAATTGAGTTTGTTAAAGCATTTCTTTCTCCTTTTGGCTGTTAATTGGAACATACTTAAACGATAAACCCAGCATATTTCTCTTTAAAATGTCCTTGTCTCTCTAATTGTCCACGGTGTGGTGTACGAACTCCAGCAATACAATATCTGAAACAACAGGCGCATGTATGAGGGACATAGTTAATAAATAAACAGGTATCCGGGATAGGGTAACAGATGAATCCACACAGACAGAACCGAATACAAAGATTTAAAAACAACATGACTGCACATAAATCAGGTGAGTGTAATCAACTAAACCAAAAACAGGTGCAAATCATGACGATATTCATCCTTTATTGAACTCTTAAAGGAATAGTACACCAAAAACATGATTAGCCTTCATTTTCTACTCACCCCCATGCTGAACAACACTCTGGAGTACTTTTTCGATATCTCAAATGCATCTGGAGATCTGGGAGGCTTCTTGCTGTCTGCTGACATTCAAATAATGGAGGTCTATGGTGCCCGAGGCAGAAAGGTCCATAAAAGTTCATAAAAAACGTGTCAATATTCCTCCATACTGCTCGTCCGATGTATTCCAAGTGTCCTGAGTGGGTAGCATCCAGAATTTACTCGAAACGAAGTCATTTAGAATGTTTTTAGAGCATAAACAGTGGTGTATAGGATTTCCTGAAAGCGCGTTCACAAGTCTACGGAAACCGCGGCAGACCAAACCAGATGAAAGTGCGCATTCAGCGTCTGCTCTGCCAATAATGCAAGCGTAGAAGAAGAAATGTGATGTTTACCTGTGCAAAGAAAAAAACAAGGAAAGAAAAATGTCTGAGGACTTCAGTGTTGAGAAAGAGCATGAGTCATTTGCCGAGCTGAATGCGCTTTCGTCTGGTTTGGTCTGCCGTGGTTTCCGTAGACTCTTGAACGCGCTTTTAGGAAGTCCTATACACTACTGTTTATGCTCTGAAAACATTCTAAACGACTTTGTTTCCAGTAAATTATGGACGCTACCCACTCAGGACACTTGGAATACATTGGACGAGCAGTATGGAGGAATATTGACACGTTTTTTGTGGACTTTTATGGACCTATCTGCCTCGGGCGCCATAGACCTCCATTATTTGAATGTCAGCAGACAGCAAGAAGCCTCCCAGATCTCCAGATGCATTTGAGATATCAAAAAAGTACTCCAGAGTGTTGTTCAGCATGGGGGTGAGTAGAAAATGAAGGCTAATCATGTTTTGGGTGTACTATTCCTTTAACCCACCTGGAGTGTTTTGCTGAAAATCTCGATCTTAGTTTCATCGGTCCATGAAGAACAGTTTGAGGCAAACTCACTGTATCATTTGGCAAACTCCATATTTGTGAGAGCAAGACTGCAAAACTTTCCACTGGCATCCCTCCCAAACAAGCGGTTGGCATCTTAATGGTACCTATTAGTTACAATGGAGGATGCCTGACTCCTAGATGTCGTTCTTTGCTGTAGTTCATGAAGAGTGGTTTTTTTTTTTTACTTCCTTTACTAAATCCTCACTGTTTGTATCAGAACGATAAGCATAGGTCCTTGTTCAGCTACAGTTTTAGATGTTTCAAACCTTTAGATATTCTTCAGTTGTGGGCATGGAGGAAAAAGATATTTCTTGTAGCCAGATTCTGAATCTTGACCATTAAACCTTGATCTCTATTTATTCACGGTGAAGCCACCAGCCGCCATATTGGTACTCCTTATTTAGACCGGTCGCAATATAAACAATAAGTGCTCTACAGCGTTGAACAACGATGACGTTCTCATTTTCAGGGGGACTTAAGACTTTTAAAATAAAGATAAATTCTTCACTTTGAATCATACTTGCTGGTTCAGAGTTGCTACACATGTTGGCCTTTTAACTGCATATCTCAGTGGGAGTGGGGAGTACCAGCATGGAGGATGGGGGCTTCATTTTTTCAGGCAATCAGCAGTCCAGTGAATAAATAGAGATCAGTGCCATTAATGCACATCAAGATGAAATGTTGCTGTTTTTGTGTTGTTTTTTTGTGGTAAAGAGATGTAGGAATCTGTCTCAGTTATTAACATAATAGATCCGCTTCAAAAAAGGTATAAATTAAAAATAATTTAATTACATTTATTTAAGAGGAAATTGGAGGGGTGCCAGTTTCTGGCGCCAGCGATTATGTTATTTCATAGAATCCTTTTTTTTTTAAACAAATTAATGTTCTTAAATTAAATATATTAATAATCTACTGGGGTTATTTTTTTATTTCTTATATCTATTTTGGTCATTTTCATTCATGATCTGCACAGCCTGCTCTCATGATGCGAGCACTGGACCGACGATCAGTCCAACAGAACCTCTTGTCCACAGAAACACTTTGAAAGACCTTCAGAACATCACAACCCCACCCACCCTCCTGTTCAGGTTATTCTGCAACAACACTCCATTCATTTTATCACCTCGGCTTAATTCGACAATCACAGGGAGTTGGAGTGCTGCTTCAAAATCCTGCAGCTTTGGGTAGAGATGCTCCCATCGCTCGAGGGGGTAAAAGAGGCTGTTTGGCAGAATTTCAATGCATTCGTCAGATGCTTTCCGTGTGTTTTTTAACGTGGCTGCCAGCATGGCTCAGCAGCTTCCAAAAAAACAAACATAATTAACTAAAACTAAGTTTCCACTGAAGTTCACAGAGGTTAAACAGTCCACTAACAGTAACTTGCTAAGCTTTTAATTGAAATATATTTAGATTTAACTTTTATTTAAAAAAATGTGTACATGTGAAAGAAAATATTCCACTTGTCCGTAAAAGAAGAAAATAAATCCACAGTTCAGCAGCATCCCTTGTTATATTGATAATTGGTGACATTTAGAACTAACGAAGAAAATAAATCTTTTAAGGAATTAATTGGATAAAATATGGTTCACTTTCACTGAGGCGCACAGAACCAACCTTTTCCTAGCTGCAGATATAATCCCTCCATGTTAAATTTTTAATTATAATTACCCATTTCTTTGTTACGTTTTTATAAACATATGGATGGTTTATTTTCACATCTATAGAATCAAGAATCCCTTAAATAACATTTGCCACCATGAAGTAGCCAAAAGTAGGCTAAATATATTGAAAAAAAGTTTTCTAATCAACAGAAATTCTATATTCTATTATTAGATTAAAATGCATTAAGATATCATTGCATTATCTTAGAAAGGCACACATGATCAAGTAGGGAGAATATTATTTAATATTCTAATGTTTGAAATTGTCAGATGGAAGAAAAGTTAATCTGAAAAGAAAATGTTCATGCCTGCTCTGGCATTATTACACACAACTTACTGTTTTACAATGTGGTCAGAAATAAGCAACACAAACCAAGGGGCCCTCAGGGGCCACATGGGGTCCCCACAGCGTCTTCTGAAAACAGCATAACTCATCAGTTGCCTAAGATTGAAATCTTAATTTATTTTGTTACTGTTCTTTTCATACAGAGTATTTATAGAGATTTCAAAATGACAATATAAAGAAAATTAGAAGTTAAAAGAAACAATAAAAATATGCGTATTATATGTAAAGTTTAGGTGAACGCTGATCCCTCCAGGTCATAGGTCAGTATTGGTGGCCCATCCTATGACTCAGTACCTATGAAGTAGCCCTCAGTCTGGAAAAGGTTGGTGATCCCTGCTTTAGAGAGAGTATACAAACAGACAGGCAAAATATTAGATAAAAAATACATTAAGATAACATTAATGTATTTTTTTATTCTTTTATTCTTAGAAAGACACACATTATCAAGTAGGGAGAATATCATTAAAAATTCTAACGTTTGAAATTTTTTTAAGCCCCACCCCTCAATCATTTGGTAAAAATAAGGGATGATCCTCAGCAATAAAGTCAATTCACTGAGTCTAAAATGTTCCTATCTGCTTTTAGTCGATGCTCCTTCTCAGTTACACAATAATGGAACTGTGTCCCCGAGACAATCAGATCTCTTGTTTAAAAAAAAAATCCTGTTTTGTATATATATATATATATATATATATATATATATATATATATATATATATATATATATATATATATATATATATATATATATATATATATATAATCAATTTGAATAACAGAACTCTACAATGATCTACTTCAGCCCCTGATGATGGTTCATTTTGTACATACAGGTGCTGGTCATAAAATTAGAATATCATGAAAAAGTAGATTGATTTCAGTAATTCCATTTAAAAAGTGAAACTTGTATATTATATTCATACATTACATACAAACTCATATATTTCAGATGTTTATTTTGTTTAATTTTGATGATTACAAATGACAACAAATGAAAATCTCAAATTCATCATATCAGAAAATTAGAATATTGTGAAAAGGTTCAAAATTGATGGCCCCTGGTGCCACACTCTAATCAGCTAATTAACTCAAACCACCTGCAAAACCCTTTAAATGGTCTTTCAGTCTAGTTCTATAGGCTACACAATCATGGGGAAGACTGCTGACTTGACAGTTGTCCAAAAGACGACCATCGACACCTTGCACAAGGAGGGCAAGACACCAAAGGTCATCGCTAAAGAGGCTGGCTGTTCACAGAGCTCAGTGTCCAAGCACATTAATAGAGAGGCGAAGGGAAGGAAAAGATGTGGTCGAAAAAAGTGTACAAGCAAGAGAGATAACCGCACCCTGGAGAGGATTGTGAAACAAAACCCATTCAAAAATGTGGGGGAGATTCACAAAGAGTGGACTGCAGCTGGAGTGAGTGCTTCAAGAACCACCACACACAGACGTATGAAAGACATGGGTTTCTGCTGTCGCATTCCTTGTGTCAAGCCACTCTTGAACCACAGACAGCGTCAGAAGCGTCTTGCCTGGGCTAAAGAGAAACAGGACTGGACTGCTGGTGAGTGGTCCAAAGTCATGTTCTCTGATGAAAGTAAATTTTGCATTTCCTTTGGAAATCAAGGTCCCAGAGTCTAGAGGAAAAGAAGAGAGGCACTTCATCCACGTTGCTTGAAGTCCAGTGTAAAGTTTCCACAGTCAGTGATGGTTTGGGGTGCCATGTCATCTGCTGGTGTTGGTCCATTGTGTTTTCTGAGGTCCAGGGTCAACGCAGCCACATACCAGGAAGTTTTAGAGCACTTCATGCTTCCTGCAGCTGACCAACTTTTTGGAGATGCAGATTTCATTTTCCAACAGGACTTGGCACCTGCACACAGTGCCAAAGCTACCAGTACCTGGTTGAAGGACCATGGTATCCCTGTTCTTAATTGGCCAGCAAACTCTCCTGACCTTAACCCCATAGAAAATCTATGGGGTATTGTGAAGAAGAAGATGCAATACACCAGACCCAACAATTCAGAAGAGCTAAAAGCCACTATTAGAGCAACCTGGGCTATCATAACACCTGAGCAGTGCCACAGACTGATCGACTCCATGCCACGCCGCATTGCTGCAGTAATACAGGCCAAAGGAGGCCCAACTAAATACTGAGTGCTGTACATGCTCATACTTTTCATGTTCATACTTTTCAGTTGGCCAACATTTCTATAAATCCTTTGTTTTTATTGGTCTTCAGTAATATTCTAATTTTCTGATATGATGAATTTGAGATTTTCATTTGTTGTCATTTGTAATCATCAAAATTAAACAAAATAAACATCTGAAATATATGAGTTTGTATGTAATGTATGAATATAATATACAAGTTTCACTTTTTAAATGGAATTACTGAAATCAATCTACTTTTTCATGATATTCTAATTTTATGACCAGCACCTGTATTTGTATTGGAGTATTGATGTTTAATAGTTTAATGTTGAGCTTTTTCTTGCTGCTTTGCTACCCCTGTTTAGTGTGATAAATGACAGAACAAAATAGCTGGCCAATTCTGCAGCATTCACTGAAACGTTTATTAATGTACAATGTCTTTGTCAAATAAATCAATTAACAAAAACAGACTAAATTATCAAAGTTCTACAAACTGGAAATGGTGGTAGAGTGGTCAAATCTTCCAAGGAGTTACCAAACTAGCAAAATAAGTCCAATAAAACCTGGACAGCCTGTTCAAAACTCGATCTATGGAAGAGTTCAAAGGTCAAAACCACAAACGACCCCCCCAAAAAACTATTTTATTTTAAACCAGAAACCGACACCTTGATTATCCAAAAGGCTTTTGGGAAAAAAATCTCTTTTCTATAAAGACAAAAAGTGGAACTTTGTGGAAGGTGTGTGGTCTGTTACAGCTGACCTGAAACTAAAAGCATTTTACAGAACCTTAAAAAACATGGTGGTGGTAGCATCATGGTCTGGGCCTGCTTTGCTGCTTGAGGACTTAGAAGACTTAGCAGAACTGAGGTCTTTGAATTGGTCTGCTTTGAATTGAAGCAGACCACTAAGGTATTAACTGTGCTGAGGGGCTCAAAAAATAAAAAGTCTAAAGTATAAATGTGAATCTAAACTGTGGCTATTTAAGTGATTAGTTTATGCTTCAAAACCCACAAAATAATTAATAAGGCAGTTCTCTAAATAAGAGCTGGACAGATTCCCTCCATAGAGATATGAAAGACTATCCTACCAGTTATCACAGACACATTGAGGTCACAAAGGAGGGGAAATACAGTTATTGGATAGATTAGAATCATTTTTCACCTAACTTGTTTCTTTGCTTTATTAAATGTTATTTAAAAATTTTTTGTGAAATATATCCATATCATCTTTGACTAAGATGTTCTTTTTCAATGTAAAACATTTAAGTGTGACAAAAAATAAAAGCGTAATACATCTATAAGGAGGCAAATTTTGCTGTAAAAGAAGAATATTAAAAAATGTTTTGAAATGAATAAGTTAACTAATCTAGTTTAATTTGTACAGGACGTGATGCAGGACTAAAATTCTTGAGGAAATTATTAACCCTGTCAAAGCTCATGGCTCTATTTTATTTTTTATACTACCTAAACCAGTTTTTAAAATTTCAACTTCTGTTTTTTTACAGGTGTTAAGTCACATAATAGTTCTCCAATTTTAAAAAACAAAAACGTGATCCTCAAGGAGGAAGGAATAAATGCTTCTTTTTCAAATATATTTTTATTTTCAATCATAATTTTAGCATGATGTGTGCTCCCTGTTCTTTGCAGGGGAAACTGTAGAATTATACTTTTTGAAACAGGTAGAATGTTCCAGTAAAGTCCACAAATATCTGATGAGGTGGAATCTGTGCTTTTTGTGATTGTCTATTCATAAGCTTCGGGTTAGCCTGGATCACCAGGTTTTAACCATCTATGCGCCACTTTGATGCTTCAGTCTTCATTATTTCACCCAAAAAGCACCATCACAACTGCAGACAAAATAGAGCCACAGCATAATGCTGCCTCCACCGTGCTTGGCAGTGTGTCAGGGTTCTTGGGTCTAAACTTGTCCTGATACACCTCTGAATAGCCTCAGCAATCGTGGTCTCTAAAGATCCATAAATAGTTTGTTCAGACAGGATTTATTTATTTGTCCAGGTGGGCAGCTAACCATTTTAGTCAGACTTGAAGGAGTTGGTTTAGCACCAAGTTCTCCAGCATTCTCTCTATCAGAAGTGAACCTCACTTCAACACACATTCCCACAACTATTAGCTTCTGGCTCACATGAGCTTTGTTTGGGGATCATCCTTACTAATTTACTTCTACCCAAGGGTACCATAAGTACGGAGCCCCTAAAGGGACATGGAGGAAAAAAATAAACTTTTGCCAGATCTCGCAAAAGTTTTGCGGGATCCTGCAAAAGTATTGTGGGATCTCGAAAAAGTATTGCGAGATCTCGCAAAAAATGAACTTTTGCGAGATCTCGCAAAACTATTGCGGGATCTCGCAAAAGTATTGCGGGATCTCGCAAAAGTATTGCGGGATCTCGCAAAAGTATTACGGGATCTCACAAAAGTATTGCGAGATCCTGCAAAAGTATCGCAGGATCTTGCAAAAGTATTGCGGGATTTCGCAAAATTATCGCAGGATCTTGCAAAAGTATTGCGGGATCTCTAAAAAGTATTGCGAGATCTCGCAAAAGTATTGCAGGATCTTGCAAAAGTATTGTGGGATCTCGAAAAAGTATTGTGAGATCTCGCAAAAAATAAACTTTGCGAGATCCCGCAATAGTTTTGCGAGATCTAGCAAAAGTATTGCAGGATCTCGCAAAAGTATTGCAGGATCTTGCAAAAGTATTGTGGGATCTCGAAAAAGTATTGTGAGATCTCGCAAAAGTATTGCAGGATCTTGCAATAGTATGGTGGGATCTCGAAAAAGTATTGTGAGATCTCGCAATAGTTTTGCGAGATCTAGCAAAAGTATTGCAGGATCTTGCAAAAGTATTGCGAGATCCCGCAATAGTTTTGCGAGATCTAGCAAAAGTATTGCAGGATCTTGCAAAAGTATTGCGAGATCTCGCAAAAGTATTGCAGGATCTTGCAAAAGTATTGTGGGATCTCGAAAAAGTATTGTGGGATCTCGAAAAAGTATTGTGAGATCTCGCAAAAAATAAACTTTGCAAGATCTCGCAAAAGTATTGTGAGAAAAGTATTGCTCGTCGAGCGGCTCACGCTGGAGGAGAGCCAAGCGAAAGCGGTGCAGCCGGCCGAGGAAACGCGGCTGTCGCGGAGGTTTAGCAGCCAAGCTAAAGGCTAACCCCCACAGACCATCGCTTCCATCCATCCTGCTCTCCAACGTACGTTCACTGGATAACAAAACTGACCATCTTAACTCGAGCTCTCAGCAAAGAGGGAGTTTAGGGACTGTTGCGCTCTCATTCTGACAGAGACGTGGCTCACATCATCAACCCCGGACAACGCCATTAGCCTGGAGGGGCTAGCTACTTTCCGCGCCGACAGAAACAAAGAACTCAGCGGTAAGAGCCGAGGAGGCGGACTCTGTGTTTACATCAATAACAACTGGTGTAAAAATGCTAGAATAGTCTCAAGTTTTTGCTCTCCGGACATAGAGCTTCTGACTGTTAGCTGCAGACCCTTTTACCTGCCCAGAGAGTTCACTGTTGTTACCATCACAGCGGTGTATGTCCCCCCCAGCGCTGATACAAAGGAGGCCATGAGTGTTCTCTATCGGACTGTCTCTGAGCTGCAATCCACACACACAGAGGGCGTTTTCATCATTGCTGGAGATTTTAATCAGGCGAATATGAAAACTGTTCTCCCTCATTTTTATCAACACGTGGATTTTGCTACTCGTGGAGAGAACACTCTGGACTTAGTTTATACAAACATAAAAGACGCATTCAGAGCAGCCCCCCGCCCCCACATCGGCTCCTCAGACCACCTTTCTGTGATGCTAATTCCTGCATACAGACCCCTGCTGATCAGAGCAAAACCTACAGTGAAGCAGGTGAGGGTCTGGACGGAGGGGGCCATGGATGCACTCCAGGACTGCTTTGAATGCTCTGAATGGGACATGTTCAAATCAGCAGCAACATATGACAACAAGATCAATGTTGATGAGTACGCCATGACTGTTTCAGCCTACATCAACCACTGCATCGAGGACGTCAGCACAACAAAGACCATCACCACCCGAGCCAACCAACGGCCCTGGATGACTGAGGAGGTCCGCCACGCGCTAAAAGCACGGAACTCAGCCTTCAAGTCTGGTGACAAGGAGGCACTGAGGACAGCTAGAGCCACCCTGAACCGTGCCATCAGGTTAGCAAAGCGGAACCATAACCAGAAAATCCAGCATCTGTTCCACGACGCCAACAACACCAGGAGCATGTGGCAAGGCATACGGGCGATCACAGACTACAACACGCCCCCTGCCCCGGTGGATGAAGTTGATGCTGACTTCCTAAACGGACTAAATAACTTCTTTGGGAGGTTTGAGGCACTAAATCGCACTCCAGCAGTGAAGGCTGTCCCACATCAGGAAGAGGAGGTTCTCTGCCTTGACACAGCCGACGTGTGGAAGACTCTGAGGAGGGTCAACCCGCGGAAGGCCCCAGGTCCCGACAACATACCTGGGCGGGTGCTCAAGGAGTGTGCAGGTCAGCTAGCTGGTGTCCTCACGGACATTTTTAACACCTCGCTGGAGCAAGCCACAGTGCCAGCATGCTTCAAGTCTGCCTCCATCATCCCAGTGCCAAAGAAACCTCAAGTCACCTGCTACAACGACTACCGGCCCGTCGCACTGACTCCCATCATGATGAAGTGCTTTGAAAGGCTGGTAAAGGAACACATCGTCTCCAGTCTCCCCCCAACACTCGACCCGTTCCAGTTTGCCTACCGGCGAAACCGCTCCACTGAGGACGCCATCTCCTCTGCTCTTCACCTGAGCCTGGCCCACCTGGAGGAGAAGAACACCCACGTGCGGATGCTGTTCCTGGACTTCAGTTCAGCGTTTAACACCATCATCCCACAGCACCTGGTGGGAAAGCTGGAACATCTGGGCTTCAACACACCCCTTCGAAACTGGCTGCTGGACTTCCTCACCAACAGACCTCAGTCAGTCCGGGTCGGTCAGAACACCTCTGATGTCATCACCCTCAGCACGGGCTCCCCTCAGGGCTGCGTCCTGAGCCCCCTGCTGTTCACCCTGATGACATATGACTGCGTCCCCAGGTTCACCACCAATCACATCGTGAAGTTTGCGGACGACACCACGGTGGTGGGCCTCATCAGGGACGACAACGACCGGGACTACAGAGAGGAGGTGGAGCAGCTGGTGGACTGGTGCAGTGAAAACAGTCTGATCCTGAACGTGGAGAAGACGAAGGAGATCATCGTCGACTTCAGGAAAAACCGCCCCCACCATGCTCCACTGCTCATCAACAGCTCAGCTGTGGAGGTGGTCAGCAGCACAAAGTTCCTGGGGGTGCACATCACGGACAACCTCACCTGGACTGTAAACACTTCATCTCTAGTGAAGAGGGCACAGAAGCGCTTGTACTTTCTGCGGAGGATGAGGAGAGCCCGCCTGCCCCCGCCCATCCTCACAACCTTCTACAGAAGCACCATAGAGAGCGTTCTGACCAGCTGTCTCTCTCTGTGGTGTGGAGGCTGCAGAGCTTCTGACTGGAAGAATGTGAGGAGGGTGGTGAGGACAGCGGAAGGAATCATTGGGGCTCCTCTTCCCTCCATTAAGGACATTTCATCACAGCGCTGTGTGTCCCGAGCCCGTAATATCATCAAAGACCCCTCACACCCCCACCATGGACTGTTCTCCCTGCTGCCCTCTGGAAAGAGGTTCCGCAGCATCCGCTGCAGATCCACCAGGTTGTGCAACAGCTTCTTCCCCACTGCCATCAGACTGTTGAACCTTTGATCCACAATCCGAACTCTGCACCTATTGCACATTATCGGGCATCAAATGCTGCTGAACTTTTAACTTTTAGCCCTTTAAATTGTTCATCTCATTGTATTTTTCAATAACGCATTTTTTGCACAAATGCCATTTTGCACTGAACCACTGCAACTTGCACACTGTCTCTTATCCTCTGCACTGTTCACACTTTGACCACTGCTGCACTTTTTGTATTTTTCTATAACTCGTGCCATTGTGAAATATCAATGCAACGTTCATAAGCTGTATGTAACGCAATTTCGTTCTGTATGCACCCTGTGCATACAAAATGACAAATAAAGAAGTCTAAGTCTAAGTCTAAGTCTAAGAGATCCTGCAAAAGTATTGCAGGATCTTGCAAAAGTTCTTTTTTTCCCCTCCATGTTCCTTTAGGGGCTCCGTAGCTCCGTACATTAGTGCCAAATGATTGAAAATTGTACAAAAACTGGATCATCACAATAAATGAACTGAACGACTGGAATGGTCCAGAGCCTGGCCTTATGTTAAAACCCCAGGGAATGTCAGGGAGTAAAGAAAAGTTAACTCAACATAAATGACTCTGCACAAGGAGTCTTTAGAGCAAACAGTTAATCAATTTTTTTTTTTAAAGTCCAGTAGATGGGTTCTTCTTCTTTGCTTAAATGTTTGGTCTCTTCCCCAAGAGACTTCTCTAGTCTGGGGAGTTACTCCAGGAGAAAAACGTTTCAATGAAGACTTATTAAACGTTTTTATATCATCACATAACATCAGGAAAATGTGGGGGCTTTTAAACGTAAAAACAACAAACTGGACCGATCAGAAAAAGGTGGCTTGTCTGCTTCAGGTTGAAGAGTTCCTACTTCAAATGGAGGAGGTTCAGGTGTATTGGGGGAGATTGATAGACGGGTTGGTGAGGCTGCTCACACTGAGCCTGGTTCTGCTGGATGTGTCCCTCTCTACCCTCTCAACTGGTTTTCCTTAATATAAACTTTTAAACAATCTGAGTGAATTGTCTCTGTAAAGTCTCTTTAAAGACATGTTGTGAATTGGCACTATATAAATAAACTGATTTGAACTAAAAAGGCAAAGCTCTCCATTTACCAGTCGGTCTATGTTCCTACTCTTACCTATGGTCATGAAATCCGGATCATGACTCTAAAATGAGGTTTCTCTGCTGGGTGGCTTGACTCTCCCTTTGAGATAGGTTGAGGGGCTCATTGTAAAGGCGTTTCTCCTCCACATCAAAAGGAGTCAGCTGAAGTGGTTCAGATATCTTTGTCCAATTCCCCCTAAACGCCTCCCTCTGAGGTACGTTTGACTGGGAGGAGGCCAAGAGGACGACCCAGGCCACCCTGCAGGGACTTTGTGCCTGCAGGGGAAGAGCAACAATTTGGAGCTGAGAAAAGTGTTTAAATGTCCTTTCTGAAGGCCCAACTTTAGTCTAAAAAAAAAAAGTGGAACATGCTGAAAGTCGTTTATATCCCAGAACATCTTCATTTTAATTATCTTATTTCTTAGAGTGCTCAACTACAATACCAAGCCAAAATTACTACAGATGTTTGTTGGAGGGTTCTACAGGTTCTCCTGTGGTGGGGATGGTACTGACTGAGCAACATGCAGTTAAATATTAGTGAATTCATGACATATTTGAGTTTGTATAAAATTGACTTTAAAAAACACATGAAAGTTGTTTTCTATGCCATATTATGCTGTTGTAAGTATCTCTTTATCCATCTGGCTGTGTAATGGAAAATACTTCAACAATGAACCCAGTTATAAGTGGCTGCAAAACAGACCACTATAAACATGAGTTCATGTTACTTTTTACAAGAATTAGATAACAGCAAAAGCAAAGTAATATGATCTCAGTGGGACCTGAGCTCTAAAGCTCTCAATTCTTTATATATATTTATTTTTTAGCACTAGTGGTTTGTTTTAATGGACAGTAGGCTGACAGGAAAGGGGAGAGACATGCAGGAAAGGACTATTCTTAATATTTATGTCCTATGAAGGATTAAAACAACTTCAAACATGATGGATAAGACTTTTTAATCCGTTAGAAAAAGACTGGCTTCAATGACTGCGTTCATATTCTGTGCATTTCATTCCTGAGGGTTATTAAAAAGCTGGCAAAAGAATCTACAACACAGTCAAAGTTCAACAATGAGTCAGGTGGAAGAGTCCAGCAAACCAACCATGCAAATCAAAAATACATTATCAGTGAAGCTCATCGAGTCAATGAGGAGAACATTTCCTTCATCAACCAGCAGGTGTTAATGTACGTGTGGCTCCGCTGCAGCTCTGCAGCCAAAACCCATTTCCATAAATAACAAACTTTCACAGACGTTTCTGCAAAATGCAAGTTTGACTTTCAAGTGCGAATTTGTCACTCGGAGTAGACGAGCAATCTTCCCCGACCTTTTACATGTGATTGAGTCACAGTTTTACACTTTGGAAATATCAGAAGACTAAAGTAAGTTGGTTTAATTTCACACACACACACGCTTGCAGTCTACAGTACAAATGAGTGTAAAATCATCAGCATCATCATCATCAACAATAACAAGACAAGCTGGACTTGTGAGATTTCTTCACAACTTGTTGGCTTTCCAGGTCAGGTAGGAGTTCCAGGCGACGGCGACGATCTGGACGACGGCCAGCCTGTAAGAGGAGTAAAAATGATGCGTTGAAGGAGAGGAGACGGACAACAAAACAATGGAACTGTGAAGTGGGAATCCATTTAAACCATTTTAAAATCATTACAATATATAAACTAAACATACATGCGAATGTAACATTTTTGAACAGATTGAAATCTTCCAATCTGACTAGAAAAAAAGAATAAACATGGGAGCCTCACCTGTGCTGCAGTGGGATGAAGTAGAAATTTGCAATCTGGACTGGAGGCCACAGCTAGAACAACAATGTTATGCATTTATTCTTCGATCATAAAGATAATTCATTATTAATTAGCAAATGGGAACTGTTCTTGATCATGTTTTATTTAACTAATTTCAGATTATAGAAAATAAATTCCTTCATTACCTGTTAATGATTTAAAAAAGTATTTCTTTGTTATTCTCTCTCCTTATTTCCCCCACTTTTCATAACAGACTTACACTAAGCGGAATTGCTGATCCCTGTTGACGTCTGTCACAACCTCAACTCTGTAGATAACAGGACAGCTCTGAAGTTGTCATTGATTGTTGGCTTATGGCCAGACTATAAACGCATAACTGTTTGTTTTTTAATCTTAAAACAGATAAAGCTTCTGCCCTTTAGGTATAAAGAATCACTCTTATCAAGCAGAACAGTAACAAACCTGCTGCACTGATTTTCACATCCAGTTTAATAATACCATCTACTTTAACCAAGGTTTGTGACAACAGGCTTTCTTTAGTCTGACAAACAGCTCACATATATGCGAAAAGAAAACCCTTTAGTCACATTAACGATAAAACATGATCACCTTTTGTTTTTATTTACATTTAGAAAGCTAAAAGCATTCCTTGCTTTTAATTCCATCATGTAAACTTTGAATAAAGCATTCACTAACTTGTTTTAGGATCACATAAACCTAAGTATCATTAGCATAATAAGCTATAGCAATCTTTTTGAGCCAATTGGTAAAAGATACAAGATTAAAGGGTAGAGGTCCAAGAATCGCGCCCTGCAGGATCCCAAATAACAGCTTAACATTGCAGAAAAACCTTTGGTTAGTTGTTTTGGCATGTCAGAGCAAAAGGGAAAATTAGACCGCTATGCAACTGCAATTATCTCTACAAAATGGCTAACAGGTCAGCAGCTAGAAACTCAAGCAGGAAAGAAAAGAGGCAGGGATAGGAACCAGAGCAACGGCGACAACCATGAAAAAGAAATAAAAATCATGCAATAAAAAAAATTGTGAAAAACTATGTTTGGCATGAAGGGAAACTTACATAGTAGTTGGAGATCAGAGCATCTTTGTAGTCCTGTGAGAAAATATAAAGATTTATCATTTGCTAAATGGTGGAAAGAAACCGTGCACTTTGAAATAAACAACAAATTTGATTAAATTATTGAAAAATTTAAATAACAATGTTCCATACATTTGTTCAGCACCTTCACTCGGTTATTTGAAACAAATGAAACACTGAAAAAAAAGTACACACACACCCACACAAATATACACTCACCGGCCACTTTATTAGGAACACCGTCCAACTGCTCGTTAACACTTAATTTCTAAGCTGCCAATCACATGGCGGCAACTCAGTGCATTTAGGCATGTAGACATGGTCAAGACAATCTCCTGCAGTTCAAACCGAGCATCAGTATGGGGAAGAAATGTGGTTTGAGTGACTTTGAACGTGGCATGATTGTTGGTGGAGGGAGGGCTGGTCTGAGTATTTCAGAAACTGCTGATCTACTGGGATTTTCACGCACAACCATCTCTAGGGTTTACAGAGAATGGTCCGAAAAAGAAAAAACATCCAGTGAGCAGCAGTTCTGTGGGCGGAAATGCCTTGTTGATGCCAAAGGTCAGAGGAGAATGGCCAGACTGGTTGGAGCTGATAGAAGGGCAACAGTGACTCAAATAACCACCCGTTACAACCAAGGTGGGCAGAAGAGCATCTCTGAACGCACAGTACGTCGAACTTTGAGGCAGATGGGCTACAGCAGCAGAAGACCACACCGGGTGCCACTCCTTTCAGCTAAGAACAGGAAACTGAGGCTACAATTTGCACAAGCTCAACGAAATTGGACAATAGAAGATTGGAAAAACGTTGCCTGGTCTGATGAGTCTCGATTTCTGCTGCGACATTCGGATGGTAGGGTCAGAATTTGGCGTCTACAACATGAAAGCATGGATCCATCCTGCCTTGTATCAACGGTTCAGGCTGGTGGTGGTGGTGTCATGGTGTGGGGAATATTTTCTTGGCACTCTTTGGGCCCCTTGGTACCAATTGAGCATCGTTGCAACGCCACAGCCTACCTGAGTATTGTTGCTGACCATGTCCATCCCTTTATGACCACAATGTACCCAACTTCTGATGGCTACTTTCAGCAGGATAATGCGCCATGTCATAAAGCTGGAATCATCTCAGACTGGTTTCTTGAACATGACAATGAGTTCACTGTACTCAAATGGCCTCCACAGTCACCAGATCTCAATCCAATAGAGCATCTTTGGGATGTGGTGAAACGGGAGATTCGCATCATGGATGTGCAGCCGACAAATCTGCGGCAACTGTGTGATGCCATCATGTCAATATGGACCAAACTCCCTGAGGAATGCTTCCAGCACCTTGTTGAATCTATGCCACGAAGAATTGAGGCAGTTCTGAAGGCAAAAGGGGGTCCAACCCGTTACTAGCATGGGGTACCTAATAAAGTGGCCGGTGAGTGTATATACGTATATATATATTTATTTAGAAGTAAAAACACTTGAATCAGAGAACAAAATATGTACTTTTAATATTATAGCATTCAACTCTTAATTACAGTTTCTAAAGTGAACCCAGAGAAAATCATCGAAAAAGAAAACTAAATCTGATTCATGACTGCTCCAAGTGGAAAATTTGTCAGTGGTTATAATTAATGCTGGAATATTAAATGGTTGCATTTCTGCTTGTTTATTTGATCAAACTGCTGTTTTATTTTATACATTTAATTTCTTATTTGGTTTCAAGCAGCCCAAAAATGGCTAAGTTAATTTATGAAACATGAGCTACGTTCTCTCTGCTTCTAAGGAATCTCTTCCTCATTGTCAAAATAACATCCTCCTAATGGAACAATGAGGAAGAGAAAAATGACGAGGAGAAAAAAAAGGTGGAAATAATTCAAGTGCACTAAAATATTGGTGACAATATGGTTCAATAAATCTCTGGAGCTTTGATTATGGGAAAAAAAGCAAAAAAACAGACCATAACACCCCAAACCATTACTTTATCAGGCTAATGATGCAAGTTTTCTGCTTTGAATTCTTATCCCTCACTATAAATTAGTATTCTATTTGCAGAAGAAGAGAGCAGCATTGGAGAGAAATTTAAACGCTTGGGATGTAACAACCAAAGCAACAGAAATAAAGAGACAAGTAAAAAAAACAAAAGGACATTCTTTTTACCAAACTCCAGAATAAATACAAATGATTTGTAAAAGGTTAAAGTCTGGAATATAGAACCAGGAAGTAGTGATGGATAGATGGTTAGACAGACGGATCAATGGATGCCTTTTTTTCCAGCCTTTCATCACCTAAGGTACAAAATCATATAAATCGAATTCTTTTCCAGTTTAATTCAAATACATTTGATTTAAATAAGTTCA